CATGTACGTACACTCACCAGTGCGCCCGACACTCGTTCCTCGAAATTTCCAGTGGCCAGTGGCCAAGCCGTCTCGATGGTCCACTGAAAACCGCGAAGCAAACAAAGTGAAAGCGCGCATTGAAGCTGCGGGGAAAAATGGCGGTCGCGGCAGTGGCTGCAATCGCCCAATGACATTGGCTGCGTTCAGAAAACACAACGGTTACACAACGGTTGAGTAATTCGTCAACCATTCGTTCGTTATTGGTCTGAATGTAAGAATCGGACAGTAAGGACCAATAGTTACTAAGCGCTCAGTGAGCGCTCTGTTTTCTGAACGCAACCAATGATTCAATCGGTTATACTTTTAAATCTAGCCAATCGGACCCACGAACGAGCACCATGGCACTGATCCAGCCAATGGCTAATCAAAAGTGGCCAATGGTCGCGTATGCGTCGTACATCATCGGTGTGTAACGTACAATCTATACGGCGGAGAGAGAGAGAGAGAGAGAGAGAGAGAGAAAGAGAAAGAGAAAGAGAGAGAGAGAAAGAGAGAGAGAGGCAATCGCGAAATAACAATTTACTCATGCCCGACTCATTAAGACACTCGTTAACGTTACAACAACGATCGTATTCCGGATTTACACGGCAATACATCTCGAATGAGCGAACGACGCGAAGTGCACGTCGTAAAGATTCAACGATAACTTACACTACAGCAAGCCGACGAGACGAGACGAGACGATACGAAGGTAACGGACAAAGCAGGACGACGGACGCTTGATCGCGTCCACGTATCCTTTCCCGATACTCTTGTTGGGTACCGATGATATATACGTGAGACTTACTTCTTTTGAGCGTAAATCAGGAGAAAGCACGGGACGATCTGCCGAGTTGGTCTGGACATGGCGCGCTATGGCGGTAATTCGTCCAAAGGGACGCGATCGTCGCGCATGCGTGCGCGGCAATTCGCGCGAAATTAGCGTTCATTCAAAATCGCCTCGGCAGGCAACGAATGTCTACTGCGGGGATAAAGACGATTATTTTCGACTGGCGCAGGGATAGAAGAGCGGATATCTCCCGATGAGAGATATATCTGTTACGTCTAACGAAATCTCAAGCGTTTGCGACTTTTAATCTTGATCATACGATCTTGATATTTTCCGTTCATTTCGAATATCCGCTTCAACCGGGAGTAACTCGGAGGAGAGAACTCGTTAAAACAGAATTAGCTATTATATGCATTTCTTTTTCTCTCTCTCTCTCTCTCTCTCTCTCTCTCTCTCTCTCTCTCTCTCTCTCTCTCTCTCTCTCTCTCTCGTGAGGGATTTCACGTCTTCCGCAGTTTTGTTCGCGGCCCTCTCCTTTTCTCTCACCCTTTGCCTACTGTCTCCTAACGGGCAGCCCCTTTATTTTGTCGTTCTCTTTCCCCGCCGCTACGCAGTCGCGAAGTTAGGCGAAACTCGTTATCGGATAGAACGGGCGATTACCGCCTCGTCTCGAGTTGGTGCTCGACTTTTAACGCGATTATACGTCGCTGAAACGCTAAATTGCACGGCGCAACGAGAGTTAACGCCCGCGAAAACTGTAAGTTCGAACGATGCGCCCCAGGGAAGAGCGGCGCAAAAATATCCGATAAAACGACGCGAATTGCGAGAAAGAAAACGTCAGGTTTTCCTCGTCATACTTAGCGTGCGATCGCGATACCGCGTAGAATTTGCTCAATGAGTAAAGATTGTGATGCTTGCGGCGAGTAAATTATGCCAGTCAGACGTTAAAACGCGAAAGGAAAATCTTTCACGATTCGTTCATCCTCAGGCGTTTTACCGTATTTCGCTCTTCGTTGTGTGAGTAACTCGAAGCTACGGATATTTCTTAAAACACATTTTAGATGCAGCTCGGGGCAAGTTTCTATTTATAATTTTACGCGTCACGTGCACGCACACTACGTAAAATATATGAAGAGATTCATAAATGCACACACGCGCGCATCTCTGCAAGAATAATTCTGAGATTCGACTCGAGTCTAATCGTACAAATGGAATACCGGCTGAGAGATTCTGTCGCGAATTATAGATTGTCTAAAATGCGCTCGAGGCATTCCGGGAAGTAAAGTGAGAAAAGAAGGACATATTGGCGGCAAACAAGTGGCGAAGTTAATACAAAGTAAATATCCCGAAAAGTCTCTCGCGTTTCATAAAACTGTTCTCGCGGCTGCGTACTTTTTATACAGCTCCGGTGTGCCGCACAAATAGACCGAAGAAAAGCCGAAGGCAGAAACGCGAAAGAGGTAAACGGAAGCCCGATAGGTCGAGCCAATCGCTCACCTGCTCAACCAATCGCGCACCTGTACTCGCCCTCCGCGAAGCTAAACCAATCGGGTACGGTACGTATCGTTGTTTGGCCAGTTTACGAGCGCTCGCCGTTCCACGGATATCGATTACCGATCGCCTCGGCGGGCTATCGCTTCTTCCTAATACTGAAAAATGGACCGGTACCTTTGGCCGCGGAATCTCCTGCGAAGGAGCGCGGGAGCTATTGCCGAGGAATTCTCTCGACGCCCGATGGAGGACCTCGCGAAGAATGCTCAAAGTTTCCGCCCGCTTTCGGGTTTCCATCGGCTTTCGTTGATGGCCGCAATTAGACCTCTAGCCATCCTTTTATAGAGCGCGCGCACACGACGTTACCGCTCGAAAAGATCGACCGGTAGCGCAGGAGTACGCCATGAGAGCGAGAATATCCTCCCTAATTGAAGGCAACCCTAAATTTGAAGAAAGTTGAGAAATTAGAAAGAGACATGCGAAACTGATGTTCGTACTTCTCTAAAAAAAAAAATAATAATAATAATAATAAAGAAAAAAGAAAAAATAAAGCTTGTAAATCGATATCGTGTCGCGGATAATTCAATGAAAAAATTCCCATATCAAATGCCCGAACATATTTCGACGATCAATCTTACAATTTCAATCGCACACGTTAAAAATGGCCCGAAAAATCAGTCCGCGCAGCGCGAAAATAATTACTCTTAATTACAATACTTTAATGAAGCTCTAAAAGGACGGTGATTGAATTACATTTATTCTCTGATAATAATTCCCACAGATATTTCTTTTCCTTTGTTTTATACGAAATATCTTCTGGCGGTAGTTGTTAACAGACGTTGCTGGAAGAGAAAATGTAAATTGCAATAATTCCGTGGCTACATCGCTGATAATTACAAGTGCACTTTACTGACGTAGTCTTTGTAGTTCCTCCTACAAATTTCTCCGTCACGCTTCATCCCCCTCCCCTCTTCACCGCTCAGCTATAACAAATATCCTATTCCTATGCAGAACGAGAACATTGCAAGGAACATATTGTCTTATCGACCACAAAGCGGTTACAAAGTCCTGCACCTCATGGTAGCTATTTCACTGGAAGTGAGCTCCGTTCAAAATGTAACAAACGTCTGTTTATATTCGAAATATCATGATAAATTTTCGTAGAGTGGTTTCCCGTTGTGTAAATCGTTGCAGCTTCGTAAATCGGTAGTAAAGAGCGAGAGAAAAAATATTCTCACAGAAAACGATAACTACATGTGCTCGGACGGATAATCGCAAACCAGAACAAAACGCTTACCTGTGCATATAACGCAGTGTTCGAGACGATATTTATTAAAAAAACTTTGTTGAAACGATACTCGTCGATGTTCTTTCTATTCATCATAAACCCAGAAGCTGGATGTAGTAAGACCTTTCTTGATAAACCAACTCAATCCGTAGTTTTATGGGATCCTGATATAAAATAATAATACTGTTACTTTACGGAACAAAATACAATTATGGTTTCTCTCACAACAGTTTGACAAACGAAATAGCCAATTTGACCTTTGAACTAACTCGCCCTGATCGCCCTACTATCATAACCGATACTGATATCATAGTGATTTAAGACGTCGACAGTTGCTGATAAGATACGTATTTGTATCAGTATCGGTTATTACACGATATTATTACACGATGAATACGTGCCCGCGTACATGTTGCACCAAGTACGATTTCTAACGGGTTCTTTTATTGGTATTTAACTTCGACTCGCAAATTCGACTCTAATATTACAAGGACGCTATTTATGAACTTTCCTGATAGCCCAGGCAAATGTTATTTCGATAGATAATGCATCTTCATACATACATGCATACCACATATGCCCACACGACCGCTCCCGATGTAATGACACTGAGCATCGCGTACGTTACAGAAATTGCAGTGCCTACGAGAGACGAGAAACGCCGATGTATTCGAATGATACACCCGACGCCGAATATTGAATATTCATATGTCGAATTTGGCGATGGATGGTGTTGCCCTTATTCGTATCATTCGTCGTGCGAATAACTCAACACGTTCGAACGATATGGCAACCGACCGCAACCACCAAATATTGCGTATACCATGCATACAAATACTAGATTCTCTGATGCACGGACCTACCTGAAAAATAAAAGTACAATACTTCACGGAACTTGGCCAAATAATATGTGCTCGTGTACGCAATATACAATGTACATTGCGTCCTACTCTTGAATTTTATATCGTGGAATATACTAATAATTTATCGGAATATACTAATAATTCGCTGAAATATATTAATAATTCACCGAATTCATACATTTTTCTCCAATGATATTAGTGTAACAATTAGCATTCGTCATATACTTACTACGAGCCGCTATGAACGAGACTACGAAAAAACAATGGGACTGTTAAGGTTAGATTCTGAGGTTCTAGAAAAAATACCCGCGCTTTTGAAACATCATGGGTTTGAAAGTCATTTCGAGGATAAATATATACATGTAAATCACTGAGTTCTAGTATTTTGAGTTCTTATATTTTCCTAATTACTCTTATCGTTAATAAATAAATACACCAAAAATATACTTACGTGAAAATCATAAATAAATATAAAAAAGCCCTCTTATTAGGATTAAATTTAATTTGCTCTTTATAGGTTTGCTTACCTCTGTAAGATGGCAGTACTTGTGCGAGAATCGATAGTTACGTTAGCCAGCCTTTAAAATAGGTTAGGTTGCCCAGTCAGTTATATTTGGTGTTTATAAAGTGTACCTCAAACCGGCAGAATGGAAATAGAATTGATCGAATTAAAAGATATAAAAGCAACACCGGACATAATACATTCATATCCGCAACGAGTGAAGTCAGAATGCACATCGCTCGTTATTGACAATGGTAATTTTTTTATATAGTTAATTTTTTTATATAGTAAATGTCTTAGTCACATACCAATTCATAAAGTAACGATATTGTTTGGTATTAGGATCCTACAATTGTAGAGTCGGCTGGGCTACCGAGAAGGAGCCACAATTAATGTACAAAAATCTCATAGCAAAACCACGCAAAGAACGTGGTAAGAAAGATGGGGAACCTCAAGTGGGAAACGATATTGCAAATATCGAAGCTGTGAGATTTCAGTTGAAAACCCAGTTTGACCGAAATGTAGTAACTCATTTCGAGGCTCAAGAACAAATATTCGACTATACATTTACACACATGGGTATAGACACTGAAGGAAGTGTAAATCATCCGATTATTTTGACTGAAGCATTCCTCAATCCTAATTATTCACGCAACTGTAAGAATATATTAGCCTGTATTACAATATTTGTAATATCTAGTGATTTACTAAGTTTGTATATTTCAGTAATGGCAGAATTGTTATTTGAATGCTATAACGTGCCATCTATAGCGTATGGAGTTGATTGTTTATTTTCATACCAACATAATAACTGTCCACCTGATGGTCTGATAGTTAGTATAGGATATCATACAACTCACATAATACCCATATTGGATGGAAAAGCAGATGCCATGAATGCGAGAAGAATCAATGTTGGTGGATATCACATCACATCATATATGCATAGACTCCTTCAATTAAAATATCCAGTACATGTTAATGCAATAACGCCTAGTCGTGCAGAGGTATATATAAATATTAAACATTACAAATGTGACTATAATAATAATTGCTAGATATTTTCTTTACAATCCACAGGAATTGATACATGAATACTCGATGATTGCTTTAAGTTATCAAGAAGAAGTTTCCAAGTGGGCAGATGTTGATCACTATGACTCAAATGTCTTAAGAGTGCAACTACCATATATTGCTCCTACTGCTGCTCCTGGTTTAACACTGGAACAGCAAAAAGAAAGAAAACGGGAATTAGCACGAAGATTGATGGAAATCAATGCCAGGAAGAGGGAAGAAAGAGTTAGCACTCACAGAATCCCATTTATATGTCACTGTCATAGATACTACTGCTGAAATATTAAAATTTTATTCTTTATATTTGTAGTTAGCTGAAGATGAGGAACAGCTTAATCAACTATTAGCAGTTCAAGACCTCCTAGAGGAAGGTGAACTCGATGAATTTGATCAAGCATTAAAGTCTTATTCTCTTGCAAATGAAGCTGATCTAATAAAAATGATAAATAATTTACAAGCGAAAGTAGAAAGAACTAGACAAAAGATTGTTGCTGCTAACTCGCAAGAGGAAAATATTGTGATGGAAGAGCAAAAACCTAAAATAAAATCGAGCCTTCAACCGAAGGATCAACAAGATTTCGATGAGTGGATTGCTGGAGTTAGGAAAAAAAGGTAGTTTCTCGATCTAACGCATGCTTATTTCTTAATGGATTAATGAACCATTATTTACAGACAAGAAATATTAGACAAACGTATGGCGAAGAGACAACGAAGGCAAGACATGGCGAAACGAAGAACAGCCGCCGCACAAGAAAGAATGCGCATAATTAGCCAATTGGCAAGAAAAGAAAAACGCGATGACGATTTTGGTATGCGAGACGAAGACTGGGATGTATACAAAGTTATAAATAGGGTACGTACGTATTCTTCTTCCAATTAAATCGCACTGTGACTTTGACGTCGTTTTGTGCTACGGAGTGTTTCCTCGCAGGAAGGTGGCGATTCAGATTCGGAATTAGAGCAGGAGAAATTATTGGAACTAGAAGATGTTTTACGTCACCATGACCCGGAATTTGATAGTGCTGGTTCCAATGTCCCAATGGTTCCCGGAGAAACTCATCAACTTCATGTAGGCGTGGAGCGTTTACGTGCACCGGAATTACTGTTTCAACCATCTATGGTTGGTTCCGTAGAGGCCGGTATTGCCGAGACCATCGAATATGTCTTAAAACAATATTCGGCCGAAGAACAAAATCGTTTAGTCAGCAACGTATTCCTCACCGGTGGACCAACAGCTTTTCCGGGTTTATTAGAGAGATTAAAGCGCGAACTACGCGAAATGAGACCGTTCGGATCAAATTTTCAAGTGAACATCGCGAAAAACACCAGTCTGGACGCCTGGTATGGTGCAAGAGATTTCGGTTTGAATGGTAATCTTCCCGAGTATTTAGTCAGCCGCAAGGAATACGAAGAGAAAGGCGGGGAGTATTTCAAGGAACACTCGACGAGTAATACTTACACTCGATCGCCCGATCCTTTGCCGATGATACAAACACCTGTGACGTCCGAGCGAGAAGTGATCGTAGAATGGAAAGCAAGTGATGCTGTGGTCGATGTGGAAATTGAATAAGAGGTAACATATAATTACATACTTCGAATATAATTGAAATATTGTATGACTATAGATAATATATGATCAAGTAGAAAAACATGTAAGCATATTGTTCTCAGTATTTACATTTTCATCAAGTAAATATTATCAAGCAATGATTGTACATAAAGTGTGATTTGATTATAATGTACATACAGAGGGCGATTGATTTTACGCTAAATGGATATCAGTAAAAGATATGACCAACTACTGTTCATGGATATCTACTTTATTACACAAGTATTTCCGTTTGTTCATTTTATTACGAACAAACTACATTGTAGTCTGTTTGCTGATCACAATATACAGTTCCCAAGACATCTTCGCATTTCGCCATTCAACACAATTACGCGAGATACGTATTTATACGCTTTCATTTTTTTATTTCTCGAGGACGATCGACATCGGCTTCTGGGCGTTCTTCGAGTAGCCTAAAAAATTATGAAAGTGATCCCTCACCCTAGCGATAAGATTGATTTTAGCAGCAACCTCAGTACATATCTCCATTCTCGGTTCGCAGCTTAAGCTAACATCACAATATAATAACATACTGAAATCATCGAGTCGAGACCTTTGCATGTAAGGTCACGATTAAACGACTAATTCTTACGCAACGCATTATTAAAGGAACCCATACCGCGTAGCACATAACGCTTCAATTCGAGCCTAATCTGATAACAAATAGAACGTAGTCGGCAGAGAATTTTATACCGATGGCGATCACAAACTCTCAGATCACAAGTGCACAGCATTTGTTTGTATATATTGGATCAAGTTTCAAAAATTCCGCGTTTTACACGTTATTTCTTACCACTTTTGTCCTGCATTTTATACAGTTACAAACGTGGTAGCACACTTATTGCCACTTGTAACAAACCTAATCCGATGAATACATATGCGCATATATATTCAATATTTTCGTAAACAACATGACGAGACATACAAGCGTAAATCTAATATCAATAGCGTACAATGTCTTGACGATATTCGCAAACGAAAGTTACAAAGCTCGTCACAAAATCAATACAATCCTCAAACAGTCTCGACAATGACTGTAAGATGATACGATCGAGACTGTAAGAAGATAAAAAAGAAACAGGGAGAAAATTTAGCGTAATGGTACGTTGTTTTACATTATATTTATGAGTTGAACGTTTGCGGGAATATTTTTCATTCGTAAGGCTCGCTGATCGATCGTACGTATTTTAATACAGCGTGAAGAACTTAATTTACATATCCTTTACAACTATCACAGTTTGAGGTCGCTGCAAATCAATGTCTCGCCTATAATGACACACTATATCTTATGAAATTTTCATTCGGAGAGAATTGTGGAAGGGTAGATGTGGAGGACACTTAGGTACTTTCTTTTACAACAAGAAAATGAGGTAGAGAATCCAATCTGCGAAATAAATAAGAATACAACTTTTGATCCGCATATGCTACAAGTGAGGGTCTACTTCCGTTAACAATAATGTAACATTAATTAAAAATATACGTAGCGCTTTAAAATGATGATCGCGACGACGACAATGATAATAATAATGACAATGATAATGCTATGGCAATGATAACAATGTATAACCAATGATAATATAATATTAATAAGGTAATAATAATTATGACGATAATAAGGGATGATAATTATAGCAATAATAATGATAGTAATTCACAATAATAACTAGTATACAACAACGACTCACGTTTTTTCTGCAATATATAATGGCTGTATGTATTTATATATACATATATATTTGCGTATATGTATATAGTTCGTATAATGGGGCAAAGATTGACAGCTATATACAGTACATACTTGCCTTAGTTGTACTTCCCCCTCCCCCATCTTTATGTTATACGTACCTATCTCCTTCGCATTAATTATATGACAATAATAATTAATAGTTATTTTGATGATAATAATAATCATAATAAGAAGAAGAATAATTACAATAATAATAATCGTAATTATATTTTTTTTAGTATCGTTTACTCATAAAATATCCTATATGTAACACGTATATCTGTAATATAATAACTAGGTATGCAGTATGTACGTAAAGAGAGGATGTGTTCAAACAGGATATGTCGATAAAAACTATGGTATACCAAGCGTCAACTTTTTATTCTCTCTGCTATATATCGTTTGTCTTGTTCTTCTTTTATATTCATTTTTCGCAAAATGACTATTACAAAAGTGCATTTACCTCGCATCCTTATATTTTATACGTACATACATAAATCGGCGTAGACCCACCTACCGTTCTTCTTCATTGTCGTTTATGTATTATTCGATAGCAATTAATTATACATATACATATATATATATGAGATATATACATGTATATATATAAAATATTTCACTTATATACTTTATTCCTTTTCTTAACGGAGCGCGCGCTACGATAATCTCCTTGTTTACATCATACATACATACATACATACATACATACATACATACATACATACATACATACATACATACGTACATACATACATACATACATACGTACATACGTACATACGTACATACGTACATACGTACATACGTACATACGTACATACGTACATACGTACATACGTACATACGTACATACGTACATACGTACATACGTACATACGTACATACGTACATACGTACATACGTACATACGTACATACGTACATACGTACATACATACATACATACATACATACATACATTCATTCATACATACATACATACATACATACATACATGCATGCATACATACATACATACATACATACATACATACATACATACATACATACATACATACATACATACATACATACGTACATACATACATACGTACATACGACATACATACGTATATATATACATACACACATACATACATACATACACACATACATACATACATACATACATACATACATACATACATACACACGTACATACATACATACGTACATACATACATACATACGTACATACGTATATACGTACATACGGACGTACATACGTACATACATACATACTGCGGGTGTATAACATATGACATAATACTTTCTACGCATCGACGGTACATAAGTATATCTTATCGTCATATCGTATAATAATTTTGTTCCTCCTGTGTGTGATTTTAAAACGCGACATCGCTGACGAATACACGTGACGAGTACCCGCAATTAACAGCAACCCTCTTACGCTCTACTCATCCACCCCTTTTATTCACCAAAGGATTCGACGACACGCAATTCCGGACTTGCTTTTGTTCGTCTTTTAGTCGAGGCTTTAGGCACCGTTCAAAACTCGAGTTGAGAGATATATTAGCGATAGAAAAGCTTACGCTTGTACTTACGGCCTGACGTTTTCTTTTCCTTTTTTTTTTTTTTTTCTTTAGCACTCCCGATAGACCAAATTTGCTCTTAATCATGTATTAACCCTTCACAGCTCGTAAGGACGAATTAATGTGATAGTACAGAAATTGACGGTGATACATGAAATTGAAAGGAAAAATAATCGACTGTAAAAGTGACGAGATCGCAAAAATACGACGTTAGATTTGCATGTAAATACGACTACATCATTGCATTTGAAGACGTCACCATGGTTGTGATCCACCAAACTCGATCGCATTTTGTTCATCGTCGAACTTATGATATATGCAACAAAAGACTAGGTATAGTACATCGATTACGATTATCGCAATTTCGCTAGACACTGGCTGGTAGAGGACGTCTCGAATTATATGCAAATTGTTCCATAAATATCGCGAACTTTTCTTTTGATGGTGGGTTGATGCTATTTCATCCCCGTGCATCGCTATCGCGTAAGTGTAAGCTGTAAAGAGTGAATGCAAAGCGCCGAGGCGCATTTTCGCCGTCGTTGCAAAAAAAAATATCGTTGGACGAGGAAGACTATTATTATGTATATACATGCGTGGATTTCGTACATGTAAAAATGCGTGTCAAATCTCTCGTCGGCTCTCGGCTACAAAAATATCGATATATTTCAAATGAATCGGTAAACATCGTTCGCTTATTGCGCGTGGCAGCGCGAGCGCGTCACTTCGTTTATCGTCTACACCTTTAAGTCGATTACTTTTTACACGGTTTTACAGAAATTGCACTACACGACGACATACGTCACACTCTCTCCTCTCTCTCTCTCTCTCTCTCTCTCTCTCTCTCTTTCTCTCAACGTGGTTGTTTTAATCTCGAAGTGCCCTCCCGTACACATTCTTTTTCTTCTTCTACTATTATGTTACCCTTCCGAGCGATTCGCTCGACGCACACGGTACTCTTTGTACATCTCTTTTACACCATATTAAATCTAGCTCGACGCGTGGACCGAGCAAATCGCCCGCAAGTCAAAACGATGACCACGCCTCGCCGCAAAAATGAAGCGATGCGCGTCGCTCCGGCAATAATTGTTCTTATAGGAATAAAAATGGAGCGCTTTGTCATATTGTCGAAGCGGTCGCGACCGCTGTCGCTGTCGAGGCGGAGGAATATCTTATTGCTGTAATTCAAAGTTTAGTCAGCTAAGTATTCTTCCCTCGCGCTATAAATCCACCCACGACGACCCAACTCAACCTCCCTACCCTTCCGTTCACTCGAAAAAGATTGCTTTGTGGATTATCATTGCCCTGGTAGATAAGGGTAATATTTGACTCCGTATCGTGTGTTCTCGTGCGCGTCTCCGTGTTCGTACCAAACTAAAGCCAGTACAGTAGAAGTGCGTGTCCCCTTTTTCTGGGTTTTCTTTCCTCTTTTCTTGTTTTTTAATATTGTATATATGTATATATTTTCTCCACCGGTTGCGTGGACCTCCGCGACGCCTACAAAAATCCTACACACTACTTCATTACGCAGGCCTCTAGAAGACTTACGATAGCACGATAAACCTCTATAAAAATAAGAGCTATCCTACGTAAACGTATTACAAAAATAAATGGCATTGTACTCTGCTAAAGAAGCAAAATGGTACAGGCGCAATGTCGAGCGACGCGAGCATTGTCAATTTTTTTTTTTTTCTTTTTATTACCTCCCCCCGTCTGCTTCGTCGAGTTTTCCGTCTTCGTTTGGATGTCTCTCCTTCGGTTTTACGTCAGTTTTACGTTCGTCGGACCGAAACCGAGCGCTAAATTCGGATTCTTCTTCTTCTTCTTCGTCTTCCTCTTCTTCCTCTTCCCTTTTCCTTTTTCTTTTTTTATCTACCGCCCCTCTCGCGAGACCT